GTGGCCAGCTTCCCCAAGGCCTGGGGAAAGTCCCCTTTACTCTGGGAAGAGGGTCTCGGATCCAGAACTCCTGGTTCTGTACCAGCTTAGGAAGTGGTATCTAGTGGGGTAGAGCAGGGAGGGGCTGAGAGTCAGGACTGCTGGGGAGTGGGGCTAATGGTTAGAGCAGGCTGAGTCAGCATGTCAAAGGGCTACTGGTTCCTAGCCCCCATCTCCAAAACAGCCTGGTCTGTTCCCCCTCGACCTCTGCCACCCCAGCCCTTTCTCCTAAGCATCGACAGCCCCATTCTTGGCTCCACCTTCCTTCTAGGGAAGCCTCCCCCAAGCTCTTGGTCTGTCTTGTGACCTGTCCCACAGCTAACCTGCGGGACCCCTTGCCACAAGGCAGAGGCAATGGGGGAGCTCACTTGGGTGGGACAAATCCAGGCACAGATGGGAGAGGCAGCAGATTCGATCTTGATGCTTGGGGGGGCAGGTAACCCTTGTTCCACGCTAGGAGCTGGTGGACTGGCTTGTTGGGCTTATTGGAGTGAATAGGGCTCAGGGAGGGATTTGATGGGTCTTCAGTGACTGACAACAATCCAGAGAAATCAGCACGGCTGCCAGGCATAGCCTAGCGAGATTTCCAACCTGTGGTCTGCAGGCCTGTAGTATCATAGGGGGTCCGCCCAGAGTCTCTCGCAGCCGGCGTGTCCTTCACCCCCCTGCTTGCCCAGGGACCAAGGGACACGGCTGGGGAAGCAGTGTGGCCCAGGGACGTGCAGGCTGCAGGCACAAAATGTGAGTAGGTTGCACAGGGGTCCATATCCTCGAACAGGCTGGGAGTCACTGGCCTAGCATATGGGCAGGGTTGCAGATCCTCTGGCTCACTGGTAAACTCACTAGGGAGGGGGGTGCCCCCTGGATGTGGGAGACTTGGGGTAAAGCACCTGCCCTGGGTGAGCTTGGGAAAGTCACTTTAAAAAACCTAAATGCCTCATGTGAGTAGGTTGCACAGGGGTCCATATCCTCGAACAGGCTGGGAGTCACTGGCCTAGCATATGGGCAGGGTTGCAGATCCTCTGGCTCACTGGTAAACTCACTAGGGAGGGGGGTGCCCCCTGGATGTGGGAGACTTGGGGTAAAGCACCTGCCCTGGGTGAGCTTGGGAAAGTCACTTTAAAAAACCTAAATGCCTCAGTTTCCCCATTTGTACTAGGGAACTGATAGCACCTGCCCTATAGCATGGGGGGCATTGTCAGGGTAAATATGGTAAAGATTGTGTGGGGCCAGCTAGTACAATGAGATCAGTTAGGTGCCATAGATGGAGTTGCCTGTGCCAGCAGGCCCCACTCTGCCCAGCAGGGGCAGCCGCACGGCTGAGCGGCCATCTAGCTACTGCCCCACTGTTGCCCAGGTGGCTGGCGGTGCAGCCCCGATGGGGATCCCCAAGCCATGGCTCCTTGGCCCAGTGACCCCTGGCAGTTCCCCCCAGGCCAGGGTTTCTAACAGCCAGTTTGTTCCAGACCCTGCTGACGCGCCACCTGCGAACCCCTCGGTCGCTCCTGTGCCCCCTGCACTGCCGGTGCCTGATGCTGACACCGTCTGCACCGCGCTGGTCTAGGCACAGATTCAGGTACCGGGGGG